GTAAGACGCACTCTACTGGTTCCGTTCCACATACAGCTGTGTCATCTTTAGCAGGAGCGGATCTTGGTGTCCTCTTTGGGCGTGAACACCAACTTTGGGAGATACTGTTTCTCCGGATCAGGTATAATCCTCCATTTTCTTTTTGGTTCAGAACTGGTTCGATTATGGTTCGAATAGGATACTTAAATATTGTATTCTAATTTAGGGAATACGATTCCCAGTTAGAAGAAGGTAAGAAAAAATTTTTGAAATTCGCCCACCCATTCCGCAATATTTTTAGCGTCCATTAGATGGATCCTACCATTCTTTCACTTATCTCCAGTACTTGATTGTATTTTATTCTAACTCAAATGCTTCGGTGTTTGTATCATAATCAAACTGTGTGTAGCTCATTTGATCATTATAAGTACACCAAGGTTCGATCTCCTCATCATCGAACCATTCTACAATCCCTTGTTGCATTGCTATTTCTTTAATTTGGTATCAGATAAGCCAAAACACTATGGCATCCAACGCTGATTCCACATATGCTTCTGTTCAAAACGTTCGTGGTTAAAGCACTAGTAGAAGTGTTTAGAGACCCAACATGGCATCATAGAAATACCAACAAAGGTACATAGAATTCTTCCCCAATGACATGTTAGCAATAGACCTAGACCACTACAGGCCGCTATACATTGCAGCTAGGGTTAAGGTTTTGACATACGCCAAATGTTCAGCCATTTCTATAAAACTTATTTCCATCTGTACTTTGTAATTGATGGGTTCGATAAATGATTTAATGATTATTGGCTTTCCCATGGAGGTGTCATACTTCAATGACAACATCTTAGCTACTAAAGGCTCAACCATTTTACCTCTCAACATTGGACCCTTCTTCACAAATCAGGAGTTCCAAGTAGTTTTGGGTCCTACAACATATTACATCCTCCGCGATAGAATGTTGAAATATTCCCAATAAAATCAACTTCAAAACACACTCAAGTTAAAGGTAGAAACGGTTAGACCAAACTTGGGTTTTCTCTCTATCTCTTGCTGAATTGTTTCTCACAAACTCCACTTTACAGTGTAGTATGTAAAGGTGCTAGGGCTGCATGTTCCAAGGGGTTTTAAACCTCGTAGAGTCCAAAAACCCTTTCTTAGTTTGTCTGTTAAAAGATTTAGGAAATACTCAATCTAATTGGAATTACCAACTCAGTTAATTAGGATGTTAACTAATCAAACTAATCGAGTCCAAATCTATCTAATTAGAAGTCTTTCTAATAGAGTGTGGCCAACTTAGGCAATTAAATTTAAATTGGATTAAGACAAGGAGTAGGATCTTATTATGATGTGGGACCCACAAGATCTTATCTCAAATTAAATATAAATAATTTCCTCAACTCTTAAAGCCATAAGATCCACTATGGACCGGATCTGCTCCTCACACAGGGTGCCCCACACCGATCTCACACGCACATCCTACCATGTATTGGGAATATCTCCCGTACTTATATGTTATTATTCATGGGAGATGTTCCCAATGCACGGTGGATGTGCATGTGAGACGCCCATGTGTGAGGAGCAGATCCCGTCTCGGATGAATTCACTATATTGAATTGTTCACATGTGAGTTAAGCTTTAATTCGGCTCATGAATGTCTTACATTAGTCATTTGGGTATTTAGCCTTCCTATGAGACCAAGTCCATTTATCTGAACTGAAAAATATTCATTAGGTTTAGGCTTGAATAGACATTTTCATAGAATCTCTTAGATAATAATATCAATACACTAGCGATAGGAAGGATCTCTTCCCCAACTACAAAATGCAATTCCTCACTCTCTGTTCAAATGGATCCCGGGATTAAAATCAATTGTAAACCCTTTTATAAAATAAACTATTTATTAATATAATTATTTTTGTAAATTTTATTTTAAAACAAATTTAAATCCACTCTTGACATTTTAGATTTCCATAAAGGAGAGTGTAAATCAAGATATTCTTCTTATACAACAAAGTAGTTGATTCTATCACAATGATCACTCACTCAAATTTCTTTCCAATCTATTCAAGCATACCTAGTTGTTTGGCCCTAAAAGGATTTCACTAATTGGCATATCAGAAATAGAATAGTGTGATACTTGATGCATTATCTCGGGTCAAGAGATAATATGCAACTTTCCAAATTTGTCCACCAGTCTCTAAGGTCTAGGACTAAATTAGAAATGGTCTTTTTTAGTGTTTCTCAAACACCCATTACTTATACCTTAGATTCATCATGAATACTTGAAACAGATTGCTCCACCAGTTCAATAGTACAAGAGTGTGAACCTTAACATGATATACTCCCCATGTTAAACAATCAAATAAAAACATCTAAACTCACATAAGCTTTATAAATGTGCAGCTAAGGGGTATTATATAGAAATATACCAAACAACACAAGGAAATAAAAGCAACTAAATTTATTCATAACAAATTTTAGTGCACATCATCCTATTGGACCTAAGGGCATGCATTTCTAACACAATGCACACACAAAAAGAACAAATTCTTGGACTCATAGTAACCTTTACTTGAGAAAATTGACTCCACACACACATCTTTCAATGAAGGTTCATAAGGTCTTCAAATTTTGGATGCTATTCCCCAAACTGCATTGGCGTTCGGGTATTCCAATAGTAAACCTAAAAGATTGATCCACAAATCTGCATTAGAAAGTATGCAACTTCACCATTTGTTAGGTTAATCCTTATCAATTAGTATGATATCTTTGTCAAAAAGCCATGGGCCTTTTTCTAGGATTTGATCCCATTGGATTTCCTAGAGTGAAATCCAATATCGAAGCTTGGTCTATCCTCCATGCCTGATGTATCATTTCTTTGAGCCTTCTCGACTTGACATTTTTATCCATTAGCACCTTAAACACCAAACGAATTGCCAAGTTTCACTTGGTAATGCATATTTTCTATTGGTTTTTATAGATTTGACTGATTATGGAACAAAGATCGGAGATCCTTCAACAATTCATCTTTCGTCATAGTAATGATTGGAGGAGGAATAAAGAAGGGAAAAAGGTGGAGAACAATGATAGGAGAGGAGAATGTAGGAGATAGACATGAATAAGGAAGGAGAAGACATAAAAACCTACTAGAGAGTATGAGGGATATTAGCAACTAGGGCTAGCAATATTTGACATAACACATGAACATAACTTAAACACGGGTTTGGGTTACCTTAATCGTTTTTGTGTCAAAACTGTATTAACCCATTTGACATTGTTAATAAATATATCAGTTTTAAATTGACTCATTTAATTCAAAAATGACTTACTTATAACTTGAAGTTTCAAGTATTAGGTCATCTATGTACATTTGGATGAAATAATATTATGGTAGATAAGTATGGCCATGAATGGTTTTTATGAATTTTTTAAGTAATGAATTATTAAATGTTTATTTTATTATTTCTATCTATTTATTGTTTAATTTAAATATATTAACCGTGTTGATTTTGTGTTAATTCAGGTTCAAGGTTCAAAATACCGATACGCCCGATACACCGGTAGAGGTGTATCAGGCAGTATCAATAGCTTTTTTTATTTTTTAGTTTTTTTTTTCAAATTTGGTTCAGAGGGGCCGGTTTAAGGTCTGTCCACCCCCTGAACCGATCGAAACCCCGATACACCCTCTGTAGGGGCGTATCGGGAATCTCCCGATACAATATGTATCGACCGATACATGTCGATACTTTGAACTTTGTTCATATTACACAAACAGGTTAATCATATTAATTCGTTTGTCATATTCATGTTTGAAATTTTGACATGATTAATTAATCCTTTCGCATTCACATCAACCTATATATCCGAATATTCCTATATTAACACAGACACGAATATGACATGAGAACACGAATTGCCACCCCTACTAACAACTTTTTTCGATAGATAAAATAAAATCTATAAACCAGGAATAGAAACAGAATTACAAGCACAAGTCTGAGCCTCTGAGGCCAGTCTAGGCTGCATTACCAAAACACCTAAAGACTTGGCTTAAGGGCAGTTATTCAGTGCGTTTGGGCTCGAAGGGATTTTCCCTTCGATTCCAACCATTTCATGACACATCAAAAGTAAGAGAAGGGGAACCGGTTGGCATGGTGAATTCCCTCTTCCATAACTCAATACCATTAAAAAAAAAAAAAAAAAATCGAAGAGGGATTAAATGAGAAAGAAGCAAGAATTCTTCTTTTTTCACTCTGGCGGGCAATCTTTGTTGAAAGGAGAAAGGTTTCTCTCCTTTTTGATAAGCAGAATCAGAAGATCGTGCGATTAATTAATATTCTTCCATTCAATAAACTGGAGAAATCATTCACCAGAGAGAGACTTCTCTTCATTGTCTTCTTTGGGAGAGAGAGAGGAACCTAACTCGGAAGCGAAGAGAAGAGGGGGAAAAGGCTAACTTGGAAGAGGAAGAGCGCCGTAGAGAGGGAGATGGGGAAGAAGAAGAGGCTAACTCTGGAGTGCTTCTCGTAGAATCGTAGCCATAGAGGGTCCTGTTCAACAAAAACACTCTCTTAGAAGCCCTTGATGTCAGGGTTGCCGGTACTAGTGACAAGATCTTCGTCCTCGCCTACGGCTTTGGCACCGATCAATCAGCTTGGCAGTGCATACTACCCTATTTTTCTCAGCACTACCACATCATCCTCTATGACCTCGTATGTGCCGGCAGTGTTGATCCTGATTACTTCGCCTACATCGGTCACTCTATTTTCCGCCATGATAGGCATCTTAACCTCTGTTTCCCTCTGAAAACAAGGGCATTGGAATTTTCTCTCAGCATTACCTTAACTTATCAACTTTTATTTAAAAATATTTTTATTAGTAATAAGTTTTCAATCGGTTGTAAGTGATGGTCAATTAAACACTCGAAGAAAATCCTTTCCAGTCCAAACGCACTGAATCCGAACTGGCTTAAGGGATAGCAGCAATTGAGTCAAGCGTTTACGCTGCATCAGAAATTGCATTAAAATATCGGGAGCTCGATCAATTCATATAAATACTTCAAACCTTGATAAGCACATTCTACAAAAACAAAGCCTCGATCAGCACTTTATTACAATTCATGTTACCAGGTACTTCTAAATAGTAAATTCTGCTATGCAACCTAAAATGTCAACATCCTACAGCTGCAGGTCAGGTTAACGTCCACAAGTTTGAGGCTTCATGAAGTAGTTTGCTGCAATTTCTGAATTTTGGAAAATTTTGTTTTATATACTAAACAGAAAATCTGAAATTTTCTAAATGGTAAACCTTGGTCCCAATTCTAGACACGGTTTTCAATTTCTTTCGTCATTCATCTCTGCGAAGTACAATTGTTACAATTCATTTCTTTCGTCAGTCAGAAATCTGCAATTTCTGACTTGCTTGTTGCTTCAGTTCCATTGTTATTAACAGGGAAACTTGAACCTTCCATGTTTTCTGCCAAATGCTAAAAACCTCCCTGTAATACCTTTGCAAAAGTCTCCCTTCATACAAATCCAACCCCAAAATATCGAAACTGTGAAAGATGCTTCCAACCAAGGTTCAAAATATCGCAGCATATCCTAACCTAACCGGCTAACCCTCAAAAAATGTATCTATATTCTTCTTCGCACGTATTGATAATTAACCTTGATTTGTCCCTCTTGCAGCAGCTAGAATGGATTTCAGGGCTAGATAGAATTGTTATTTTAAACACACACACACACATATAACCGTAACACATTTCGAAAATTATTCACTGAATCTCCTCAATCAGAGCCCTCCCTTTGGATTCACCCCTCACTCCCATGTCTACAGACTTGGTACTATCTCCATTTTCAATGGCTTCAATAGAACCCTTTTCCACCCTAACAATGGCTTCCAATGAGGACCAGACTTCTCTTGGCTGCTCATGAACCCAACACATCAAAAAATAAATCTTCCTTTCAGCATGCTTCAGGTTATTCCTCATCTCCGTTCTTTTCAATTTTCTTTGTTTCTCTGACTTCAGCTCCCTCTCTCCAGTCTGAATTATCCTTTGCAAATCGCAAAGTAAACATACTAGAGCAGCTCCCCCCAGAGAGAGGAGGACAACTATATCATCAAGAAGACCTAACCCAAACCTCAAGCCACCCACATGCTTATAAGCTGGTGAGCATGTTTGCTCCACGCAATGAGATACAGCTTCAGACACCGTCTCTGGTTGACCCCCTTGCCCCAAGACAGAGGACAAACTCAGCACCACCATGGCAGAACCAAGGGCATCGGATTGCCAATCCCCATTGTAAAGCCGAAGAGTGAAGCAGTAGCAATATATAATGTCCACCAGGTGAACTACCAAAAGAGGGGATGGCTCTGCTGAACTCAGCTTGCTAACTGGAGGTAGCGGAGTTTCAGGCCCAGGCGGGATCTCACTCACTTGAAAATTTTCCTCACCACCTTCCGTGTATACGCACTGTAGTTCAACTGGCTGGACAAGCTTAGTTCCTTTATGACTGAGAGAGATTGTTCTAGCAGAGTGCTTCAACCACCATGGAGTCCATGGCTCAATCATCTTGCTTAGTTCCCCAGATGCAAGTGCTCTTTGGAATTGCTTTATTTCCTCCAGTGTGAGGTCATCCAACCTGACTTGATTTCCTGAGGGGAAAAACCAAAATGATACAGGTTAGCTTAAGAATATCGTTAGACTCAGACAGCAAGAGATGAGATCACCAGATAAAATCTTCTGAATTGTCTCTTCTGACAGTGAAGAATCTGCCCAAAAAGAGAAAGAAGTTAGTAGTATCTCTCTTAATATTCAAACATGCAAAAGTGCATTGAAAAATGAAGCATTTCTTTATTAACTCTTTTTTTCTTTTTCCTCATGAACAGAACCTTTGGCTCAGTTTGGTAAGACCGTAAGAGTACAAATACAAATATGTACAGTGCAAATACAAGATTTAGGAATACAAAATATAAGGCTTTTCCACTGTACATATCTGTATTTGTACTCTTCCAAAACTGAGCCTTTATTGTAATTTAAGGACCTACAAAGAGAGCAAAGATATGCTTCAAACTTATAAAGACTTTTTCTTCCCTTCACATTGCTCTCAAGAGCAGAGAGAGATACTAGGAACGCAATTAGAAATAACTCTCCAACCAAAAGAGTACACTACAACTGAAACCATTAATGCATAAAATAGCTTTAAGTCATCCATGTACACTCAATAACTAATTCATACCACTAGCATCAAGAAAGATCGATTCAACATTAGTAACTGTTAGTGAAGGGGTATTTCGGTCTTTGTACCTATTGAGATTGCTGAGTTGTTCTATCATGTTAGTTCGAGTGCCTCTTACTTAAATAAGGGCACTGATGTCTTTTCCTATCACATTAATAATATAATAACAGGTCTGGCCGAAAGTAGGGTTGA